TCGCCTGGCTGAGTGCCAGGCTACCAGGGTTTCTAAGCTGCCTTCAAAAGGCTCTGGCTGGACCATGCTAGGGAGCACTTAATGTTTCTTTGGCTCCTTTGTGTAGCATTCCCTCCCTGGAAGCCACAGGGCTCTCCCAGGCTTTGCGGGATGGGGTCTAATTGTGCCACACACAGCTTCAGGGTTGTCGGAGCTGGGTCCAGCTGTCCTCATTTGCCCCTCAACATAGTTTTGGTCTGTGGCTTTCAGCACTAAACCCAGAGGAGAGCAACTTAATTACACAGTGCAGAGTGGGTGGGAGAAAGTGTCTGGGGTTTAGTTCCAAGATGCAGGTTCCAGTCTTTAATAAGTCACAGAAACTCTTTGACCCATATGCTTTTTGTTTCCATTGTTACATGAAGAAATTTTAAAAACTTGTCTAATGGGATATTTGTATGACTCAAATGACTGAGGAAATGCACTTTGTGAACTGGAATAGAATTAAAAGTCTCTCAAACTTGAATCTCCCCTTGGATAAAAGAAAAAGAAATGATCCAAAACCTAACAGCCCACTGGTAGATCTGTATTCCAAACACACACACACACACACACACACTGGTTCTCAAGGAATAAAAGAGATGGTTTAGAAATTAATTTCATTCTCATGACCAAATACTTGAATGTTAAAGTCTTATTTACATTGAAGTTTATATGGGCAACCTCCAGTCATCAAGTTGTAGGTCTGTTCATAGTGGAACAAGGAAGAATCATCCACAAACGAGCGCTATGCTCAACTGATAATGCTGCAGCAGTGGTGGTCAGTTTACGCATGCATGCTGCAGTGGGCTGCTTACATTGGTGAAAGTTCTAATAGCCAGCCCTGCTCTAAAGCAACAGATTGTATGTAACTTCAAGCCAGGATAAAAAGGAAATAGACCTTGCAAAGCATGTTAGAGGTTATCCTACTTAGTCACTTAACGTGCAAAAAATACTTGTTATTCTCTAGAGGGATGAACTGGCTGAAATTATGCATTCATAGTCCTGGATTAATTAATGTGCCACTATATATTACATATAAATTGGGAAGCCACTGGAAGCATGCAATACATACCCACTGGAATGGCTCACATCTTTTAAACTACAGTTTTAAAAGACTGACGATGCAAAATACTGATGAGGGTATAGGAGCAACTATAGCCTCATATGCTGCAGTAGGTGTTACATGGACACGGCTTTGGCAATTTCTTTTTTTGGGGGGGATTGAACTCAGGCCCTTGCTCTTGCTGGGGAAGTGCTTATTCTACTGAGCCATCTCCCCAGCCCTGGCTTTGGCAATTTCTTTTAAAGTTAAATAGACACTTAACCATATGACCCCAAAGTTCCACTAACCTCCAAAATACTCAAAAGAAACACATTTATTCATAAAAAGATCTACCTGTATTCACAGAAGCTTCATTTATAATGACCCAGAAATTGAAACAATCCAGATGTTCATACCATACCCAAACAAAATACCTGCCCAGCAATAAAAAGGTACCAACCAAGGTTGCACGGCTAAATTTCAAAAGTACAGGAGTAGATGGAATAAAAATAAAAGGCTACACATAGCAGGATTCCACTGTATGGCATTCTGGCAAAGGTTTAAAGAGAAAAGGCCAGGAAACAAATCAGTGGATCCAGGACTTGGGAAGGAAGGGGTGCGCTGCATCAGGAAAGCCCTGAAAGAGCCAAGCAGCCCTCAGTGCTCATGCACCTCAACCTTCTTAGCGCCTACCAGACTTCTGGATACTTTGGGGCCACCCCACCAAAACTTCTGGGGCATAGACAAACCTGGGTTTAACTTTCAGCTTGCTAATTTCCCAGCTAAACTAACTTTAAGGAAGTTAAACTCTCTATTGGAAAAACAAACCTCAAATCAATTTATCCACTGATGTGTGGATTTTTCTTCCCCACCAGGAAGCCGGCAAGTCTGCAGCAGTGGACACCATCCGGGTATCTTCTCATCTGATTCAGTCCTGGCTGTATCTGGAGACAGCATCAGATTTCACAGGTTGGGGGTACAACCCCCAAGCCTGGCCTCAAACACAAATGCATACATATAATACACAGACACACACACTCCTCCCTATATAAAATACATACATATCATACTGTCTAAACATCATGTTCCTCCATACATTTCACCTAAGTGAGTGCACGAGATCAGTGTATAAAGCCCTTTGCCTGGCTGACCACCTTCCCACCTAAAAGGAGCTACATAATGTCTCTAAGCCACCAACTGGCTTCAACTAAATCCCTAAACTCATCACAGCTTGTTGACACTGAGTGCTGGAGCACAAATCTCACACAAGAGCCTTTAGAGGGCACAGGCCCACTAAGGAGAGCTCTACTCTCAATACTGTCTCAGCTTTGTAATTCCCTATGCCCCAGAACTCGGCTCTGAGTCAGTGTCTTTCCAGTCTATCACCTGTAAACGGCTGATGTCAACGGACTTAAGACCAGACTTTACAGGTTCATTCTTCAGTCTACTGATTTTCTATCTCCCAGACCGTGTGTATACTTTTAGCAATTTACCAATATCATACACGAATTTTGACAGGCACACAACTAAACTTTGTTGATATAATGAAATACTGAGAACTTGAACAGCCTGATGTGGGAGGGATAAGGACTTTTTAAAATAAAAGCCTTAAGAGTACTTTAAGACAAACAGAATGCAATTTCATCCAATGATTCCAGGATGACTTATGATAGAACTAACTACACCCCACCCAACCTCTATCCTCAAGACGGAGTACAAAGAAACCACCAAGTTAACCAGGCAGAAATTAATAACCAGGAGGAGTCAAGGGAAATGTGGAGGTAATTAGCTTATGCTCCCAAAAGTTGGGCACAAACTTTCGAGCAATTCCGTCCAGTGCTAAGTCGTCACACTTGTCTTCATCTTCACACATTTATCCTGAGATTTCTAGAGAACACCAGTTTATAATTTTAGACATTCAAACTGAGGCAATTCTGAGATGTCACTCTTAGAAAATGTCAAAAGAAAAAAAAAATCATGCTTCGAGTTTATTTTCTTACAGTCTTTTGCAGTCCATTTTCTTCCAAGTGACTTAAAGGAATTTCAAAGTACTGAACAAAGAACTGAAATCAGAAGACTTGACATTTTAAATGTTTTTGAGAAATTTCATTTATTTGCCATTGTCAACTCTGGTTTTTTTCAGTTTCCCATTCTCAGCATAGCCCGCTTAATCACTATCATTTCTAAGCAAGTACTTCTATAAGTGGAATACTTTTATTTTGTTAAGGCAATGGAAGCAAATGTTAGGAACAAATTCAGACAAGTGAAAGGCAAATGTTTTTCTGCTGAAAATATCACAAAAGTAGCATACATGCTCTATAAGGATTTTGTTTCACCAGCTTTGATAAGTGGACAAGGCTAGAGGGCATGATCTGTTACATATGACAGGTTTTCTTTTTGGGGGGGAGAGATGCAAAAAAAATTACAAAGATAATTTTTTTTTTAAATCATAAAAACTATTGTCTAACCTTGTGTGTGAAAGTCACTCAACATACGGATTTGAAAGCTACTCCGAGTTTGGTGTGACGCAGGTCGCAGCCATCACTTAAGTACATCCTGCCTTGATGCAGGTGTATGCAGGTGGTTTTGTTTTCTTTTGTACACATGCTTTCCACTTTCATTTCGTCCTGTTGTGTTGAAGGACCTACAGATGTCCCTCCTCAACAGTGCCCTTCCTGTAACATTTCTCCTTCATGAGGGCTGTAGGCAGGCAGGCCTTGCCTGAAGCAGACATTTGTGATTCACCGCCCCACCCATTTGTCTTGTTCCAATTACGTTCCAGGAAATCTTTCAACTTCCTGCTAATACCCACATAGACTACTAAAACTGTCCAGTAGAGTGTATCTTGGGTTCCTCTTTTTTATTCAATAATGTAAGTCACGCTGTCCTGCTGTGGGCCACACTCCTGATGGAGAAGGGCCCATCCTAATGCTGGTCACCTCTCCTCATTCCTTTCCGTCTGTTTGGGATTAGCTTTTTCACTATTTTCACTCATCATCCTCCTTCTGGGTGTCTGGAAGAATGAAGATTTGCTTGGCTTGATTCTCAGCTTTTGGCTGGAGAGTCTGCTTTTTTAGTAATAATCTTGTTTTGTAACTCTTCTATCTTGAGTTCAAGTAATTAACAATCATGAAGTTCCTACTAAGTTTTTTTCACCTTTACATCCAGTTCTTTCTAACTTCTTTTAGGTACTGAAAGTTCTTTGTCCTGCTCTCAGGAAGCTTCCCTTCTAGTGTAAGATACGTTGGTGTCTAGTGTAAGACACCAGACTGATGGAGTGGGTGGTAGTGTTGTGGAGAGTAAAAAGCCATTTCTGCTTGGCTGCTGACTCACAGCTTAGTTATTAGCTTAATGTTTAGAAATACATAACACATGGTAGCATGTTTTTAAAAAATCATTATTTGGCTGAATGTTTATACTTTAACGAAGACATTTAAAACTGTTTTGGAAGTGATCTGAACTAAAGATTAAAGAAGCCTGACAACTAAATACAATGCTTATTCCTACATATAGAATAAAACAGTAAGTAATCAAGACCATTATTGGTATAAATGGGGAGACTTCAAATCTATACTCTATATATTAAATTATATCAAAGTAAAATTTTTTGAGTGTGATCACTGCATTAGTTACAGGAAAATGTCTTACTCTCAAAGTCAGATATGATATGCAATGGTATAATTTACAAGTAATAATTCAGAGAAAAATATTTATTTTCAGAGAATCAATCTCTCTTCCCCACTCAGCGTGTGGCAGGAAATGTAAAATGTTAAAATCCTAGTGACAGATATATAGTTAGTTGTTCACTGTATTAGTTTTGCTTTCTTTTCCTGTAGCTTTCCAATTTTTCAGTACCAGAAAAACAGAAAGAGGAAAACCCAAAAGTTTAAAACTACCTTAGTTTTTGAAGAAAAACAAAAGAGAATTCAGAAACCAGCTTTGAAATCAAACACAAATACTTTTTATTTATGGGATATCATTTTACACCAATTCCATTAAAACCTAAAACCAGTATGCTATACTCAAGTTCGGTGGCATGACAGTATTTTAGTTAAGCTGGGAGTCACAGGACTTGCACACTGTTATGACTGTAATGCAAATACTGACGACACGAAGCATTCACAGTTATAGGTTAGCTGCTGTTCATTTAACAGTAACCCCCAAATAGAAATTATTTTATGAAAAAAAAAAAAAAAAAGCAACCCACATTTTGGTCTCATTTACAGATACCCAACAATTTTGTTGGTCAATGAGTTCTATACATTTATTATACAACTTATGAAAGAATAAAGGATAAGGCTTACAGAGGTATCTTAGCAGTTGTAAGAATAAAAACTGAGGGCACAAAGTAACTTTTAAAGCCTTCTGTATAAACTTCAAAAGCACTGTCAGACTGGGGACCAAAAGGCAACAGAAATCTGTTGCTCATCCAGAATCTAGAGGTCTGTTTAGTTAGTTTATAAAAACTTAATCCAAAGTTCATGCTTCAAAAAGGGGCATGTAATGTGACAGTGGGTAAACACAAATCAAACACTGAAATTTCTGACCTGAAAAGTTGTATTCCCTACCAAGAGAGCATTGCAAAATGGACTTCAAAACACAAGGCAAGACAGAAAGGATGTAGGAGACTTGCGTACTAAAGAAAAACCAGATGAAGGCACCCTAGTTTATTAGACATTAGCCTACAAGTAAGTGTTTGACGAATTGTTTGGTATTGTGTAACTCACGCAAATTTTTAGGAAAAAAAGTGTCTTATGACTCTCCCTTAAAAATATGCAAAATGAAGAAAAGCAAGGGTAAGCACTCTGCAAACAGCAGGCACAGAGGCTTATTTTCCAATGTAGTTTAGAGACTGTTTTCTAAATATTCATATTATCCCACTGGAATACTTGTTTTCATATCATATAGCAAACATAAAATTGTCTTTACTTGCGTTTTCTTTTATCAAAATGTTCACTGTGGATGAAATGTACCATCTCCTCCTTGTTACTATCCCCTTATTAAGGATTAACTGTGCTTAGTGTTGAAAAAATTCTCCAGATTCTAGCATAAAATTCAAAAGAATTTCACCCATGATTTCTATCTGCTTGCAGTAAAACAGAGGTTAAGTTTAAGACCTGTTGCCTTTAAAGTGTGATATTTAAACATTTCACTAGGCTACATATGAAAATAGTTCAGCTCTTCACAGATTCAAACCTGCCAATGGCCAAGCCCCACTGTAACAACAAACACGAACTGGACTGCCTTTCAATGAGGCAGTCTTAATAGCTGTTGAATACTACTGACATTTCCTTTCCTCTCCAGATATTAACTTATGTATACTGATATAAACTCTTACGGTTAAAAGTGAGACTAAAAGCAAGGAATGGCTAAGTATGCTTAATCACTATTGTTTTTAAAATTTCTGGTCTATTTCACAGCAAACCAAACCATATTGTTCAGAAGAAAAAGGAAATAGCTGTATTCTACTGTATCATGATTTTGTATATGCACACACACTATATACACAAAATTTCTGTCTTTGGTGGTTCAGTTAGGGGAAAAAATATGAAAATCAGAACACCATTTGCAAAGAAACTGTAAAAAAAAAAATGGTCAAGAGTAGCATTGTCTGTGTGCTTTACTCATTTAACATCATCTAAAGATTCACATTTAATCTGAAAACTTTTTGGCCAATAATCCAATTACATGCTCAAGCATGGGTACTGCCCACAACCACAGCAATTACTTGCTCAAATGCACCTTAGCTCTACACTTGGTTAAATCGCTAGACCTTTGTGTGTTTACAAAACTTCAAGGACCAGGTTAGTCATTCAATAGCACCAGATAGGTGGGGTGAAAACATGTACTCCATACATTTTCTCAAGGCAGGAAAAAAAAAAGACAAATACAAATCTAAACATACCATCCTTGTTTCCTCATACGCATAAATAACAACTATCACTCTCTGTACAAATGATTCAGGTAATGACAAGTGGCCCCTCCAGGAAAGGTCCTGGAGTGTGAGAAGAATTAGCTCGATGCTGGTGGTTTCGTGTCCACTGCCTGCAATGAACATGTTGCCAGGAAAAGCCTAGCATGAAATAAACAAGGAAAACAAAACAAAACACCTCTCACTAGCAGTTTCTTTTCCAAAACACTAGAAAATTAGACAATGTAAAATCTAACTAAAAGATTCAAGCCACAACTAAAATTGCGCCGCATTTATAAATTGCCAGGAAGCCAGCATGTTTTCGTGGAGGCGGCAAGATAAACTTTAGAGTGGCACACAGAGCATCACAGACCAAACACTGGACGGGGAATCCAAGAGGGAGAAGGGGAAGCAGTACAGAAGGTTTATGAGAATTTAAACCTGAAAATTTTAAAACGGTGCGATTTCAATTGTTCATTTGTACCTATATTTAAGCTACTATAGTTTTAACATTAAAAAACCAGAAAACTGTCTCTTGCATGGTGAAAATCAGTTGTGGTGTTACATGGTCAATAATTATAATTTTCATCATTTTAGAATGCTAATATTATCAAGCAAAACAAATGATATTTGGCATGAGCCATTGAAAAGTTATCACTTCTCCCACCTCTTGCAGAAATTGGCCTCTTAAACTAGGTTAGTTCTGGCAACATTTGCTCACAGTAACAGTTGTTTTGTCTTGTTTTCTGAAATGCTACATTTGAGACCAAATAAAATATAACTGGTTCATTTGAAAAAAGGGACTAGAAATATGCCACAAAATTATTTTTACAATACATTTTTGCAGAAATAATCTCTAGGTGAAGCTTTTTATACACATATACAAAATTTAAACAGCAATATACACATAATCACAGTGAGGACATTGGCAAATTCACCAATCTGTAGTGTAAATACAAACTGGAAAGCAGCCTTCCAAGAGAACAATGCTACACAGCAAGCAGAGCTGGCCCATTCAACAGCAAACACCAAAACATCCCTGTGAAAGGGAGACAGTGCAAGAAAAGCAGCATGCGCTTTGATACAAACAGCAATTTATGGCTAATGGGTGACGTAACTGGTAACAGTGACTCTCTCGCTGCCAGGCATACAGTCCTAGGACATCTGTTTGTCCTTATACCACTCCACAAACTCATCCAACAAGACCGGCCCTGGAGAGAGAAAACACAAGGCTGCTCTCAGGCTTTTTCCAAGGAGCACGCGCATGCGCAAGGATGGGGCGGGAAAGAGGAGCGGCTGCCACCCCGTACTTACACGCTCCATCTTCATCGTAGTTACTGAGGTCAAGATTAATGGTTCTGCTGAATTCAAGCACATTGCACCACTGGTCTTTGTTAATCACTTTATATTTTGATTGCTAGTAGAGGGGAAAGGAATACGAATTACTGACACTTTTAAAATAAACAAATGGGATGGCTTCCTGTACGAACTAACTTTAAATAAAATTAATTTAGCGATTAACTCTACATTTCAGCACCACTGTAGCAGGATGGTGAGGGAGAGCAAGAGCAGAATTCCAGATGATACTTTTCATGACAAATGTTATTGGGGTCTAATCTAAGATGGTATACACAGAGAGACGTAAGAACGACTCCCAGAAGTGAAACTGCTGCAGCCCGTTTACATACAGTGGGGACATTACCCATTTCCTAACAATGCTGCAAGGATGAGGAGGGAACATGCACTTACGTCCTTGGCACAAACTAAGTACTAACTAAAGAGCAGCTCCCGTCAGTAGCCTTGACGTGATCAGCGCTGCTCACAGCTGAGCTACTGGTTGGAAGCACGCACAGCAGTGGGTCACCAAGACAGTGCGGGCCAACTGCCTAGGGCTTTCAATGACACAAACAGCCCACTGCCGCACAGGTGCCGTAGTTCGCCACCACTGCTCTACGAGAACCAATGTAAGTGCTACCAGTGGCCTCAGAGCTAGGTGCTCTCGCTAGTGAAGAAGATGACTTGTTTTAACAACTCAAAATCTGAATGGGGGGGCCGGGGAGATAGCTCAGTAGAATAAGTGCTTGCCTGGCAAGCGCAAGGGCCTGAGTTCAATCCCTGGTTCTGCAAAAAAAAAAAACAAACTCAGGGGCTGGGGAGATGGCTCAGTAGGATAAGTGCTTCCCTGGCAAGCACAAGGGTCTGAGTTCAATCCCCAGTTCCGCAAGAAAAAACAAAAACAAAACAAAAAAAAAAAAACAAAAAAAAAAATCTGAATGGGATCATGAACGAAACTAAGGATAGCCATGAAATAGTTTCTCTATTCCTCAGATGATATGTTACATTTTAAAATGCCCTATATGAATATTTAAAAATAAAATCTAGAACCATTTTAAATCCCTGTCACATGAACTTGAACATGGTAAACAATAACAATACACAAAAAGCAAAGAGAGTTAGGCCAATGGTTTTGACACTGCAAACAATGGAAGAGCTAAAAGTATTACTCTATTTTTTTTTTTAAATGTAAACTAATAGAACAAATTGTACTCTTCAAGTTTAACTTTCTAGGCAGCTAAAAGCAAAAATGGTCTGGACACAGCTGATGACACTCAGAGTTGTGCGGTCACATTTCCTCACAGCCAGGCTGCTCTGCAGAAGGCCTTCACGTTCAGGCTCAGCCCTTCCCAATCCTCAGAGAGCAAGAACTTCTCTCCCTGTCCCAACAGTGCTAGCTTATCTCAGGGGATGTCAGAGAAGCTAGAACAGACCATCTATACAATGGACCATTATACAAACAAACATTTCCATTAAAACTAGCTTTTGTAACTTTCCTGGGGAGTTCTAGTGATAATATTCAAAGCAGTTTTGAATAACAGCCCTCTAAAAATTGTAATAGTTAAGTTTTTCTGAACTATTATATAAAATAAGTTTTCAAAAAGATTATTTCAAGAGGGAAATCTGAGGGGTAAGGCCTAAGATTTTCTCAAAGACCCAACATCCTTGTTTCTGCAAGCAATGGGTGTTTTACAAAATGCTTGAGGCAGAAGGGCAAGGAGGATGCCATACATGATAATCGAAGGCAGTAAATACATGTCAGGTACAGGTCCTACAGTGGGGCATGTCCATAAAACTAACCCCTTATAACCAGCAGCTCAAAATTTTTGATCAATATGTAATACAAAACTGACAGAATAAAGATCTGGGTTGTTTCTAACATGGACCTGAAGAAAATAAAAACCAAAGAAGCTATTGGTCAGTTTGCCTAATATAGTATTTACATTACTCTAAATTCCCCAAGTTACTTGGAGATAAGAACAGATTACAAACTAATTTGACTTAAGAAGGCAGATGGCTGTTCTTTAAACTGCTTAATAAAACTAGAGGTTCATCTAAAGTCATAAAGAAAGTGAACCTTGTTTTTTCTATTGTTACAAAGAATAGGAAATCTAAACAGCAGTGAGGCTTTTATATGGGGCCAAGAGTGGAGAGGTAGAGCTGCAGCTGCTTCCAATGCACTGTAATGTGGGATGACACACACACGGTAGCATGCACGCTGATTCACTCCAAGAAAACAAGCAGTTGACTGACACCTATTGTGCTGTCTGAGTTCCTTTGAGTACAAAAGTATAACAAACAAAACTTATATAAAATGGTTAAATACAGTATTGTTTGGTAGTTCTAAGCAAACAAACATACATTTCATAAAATAACATTTGGTACCTCTAAGAATTGGTGAAAAACTGGAAAAAGGGGCCAGATTTTTCCTAGTAACAGTCCCAACATGCACTTTGCAGTGTTTATGTCTAGGCTGCGCTGGTCCTTTTCCTGTTTAACAAACAAAAACAAGGATAAGCCAGAGGCCTCCAAAATATAAATTCCTATAATTCAAATTTGTATTTCATTTCACCAAGAAAGTAGGCAACAGCTCATTTATCATACACCATAAAAATCCTGAAGGGAGACTAAGGCAGAGGGAAGGAGACAGTCAAACATAGTGGAAGGCTTGATCATTTCAGTGTCGCACAGATGTAAGGAAGAGTCATGTTAACTGAGTGATTACCCTAATGAAAATCAATTATGCAGTCACAGTACCTAAATCATTTAATAGTTTAACAAAAATCTGTAACTCGGTAACATTCTTGTCATTTATAATAATTATCAAAATTGTAATTGATTATCCTAACGCCCATAATTTAACTCAAAGGAGTTTAGGAATTAGGTTTCCTTATTAAATAGCATTTGTTTGTTTTTTTTTTTTTTTTCCATTTTTACTTCATAGGGTAAATATTGTTCTTATATCTAAATATACTGCAATTATAGTTGGCTCATACTAAATGTTGGGTTCCAAAGATTCTCTCCCTATCAGCGGATGGAGTCATTCACTTGTTCTGGGCAAAGTAGGGTAACCAATATACATGATTCTTACCTTGGATCTCTTAGATGTGACTCTCCTAGAACATCCCTGACCAGTAACCAGGAGAAAGACATCTTATAAGGAAACCAGAAGAGAGGTAACATATAAATGTAGATTAACTACACTGCACCTACATCTGTAATCAAAAATCCTAATTTCTCATTCTTTTTTTGTGAAGTTCCCCTTCTAAATCTATAACTAGTTGATTTCTGTGGAAATGGATAGAAGGCCTGAGACTACAGGTGGTGCTAGTACATAACTAAAGCCACCCTCCACATGGTATCGAAAGTATAGTGTAAATTTGTAAAAGTAATCTATTACAAAAGTACTCTACTTCCCACTGGTGTGGAATCTAAATACTCTCCAAATTAAAGGCGGATGCTGTCATACAACTCCTGTTAGTTACATACACCGCTACACGTATCATGATTCTACCAGTGAACTGCTCTTTAGTACACAGTAAGTTTCTACCCGTGACACTAATTTTAAAAGTGAAGGAATTAACAAAGCAAAAGTAAGGGCCTAGCAAGAGAAAACAAGGGAGATGAAGATACAGAAACTTGCTGCTTAAGGAGGATGCTTACAGGTCTGTCTTTTGGACCTAGTCATAAAATATAACATCTTTTCACAAACAGACCAGCTCAAATGGCACCATGATGCCCTTTTCCATCTGAGGCCAAAAAAATGTAAGTGATGATAGTGGGAGCATCCCAATCACACAGTTCTATGCAAAGTGGGGCTCCCTTCCCCCAGCGCTGTCTCCTGTCCCTGGGCCATGCGCTGGTCTTGAAGAAGAGGACAGCAGATGAGATAACTAAGAGATTGCTTGCCTTTTGCCAACCAAGACTCATTGGTTTATTGCACTTAAGTACTTATTCCTCAGCAATGCGCTGTGCAAGCCAATGGAAAAGATCCTGAGCCCGTAACACAGGTGTGGCAGACAGCAACAGCACACCAAACCATGAAGCAATCCACAAGAAATATGAGCAAACTACTGAGAAACACACGCAGCACCACAGGACTGGGCCCAAGTTCATTTGTCTCACAAAAGCTCATGCAGTACTGGTTGACAACACTGGCTCACTAAGAAGTTTTCCCTTGCAGAGTTTGGAACCATTTACTAACCCCCAAATCTCTAGTCTAGCTTCGATGTGTACGGTGCCTTCTTCCATCATTCATCATCAATGCCTCTGCCCCCATCACAATGGACATACACTAAGGTGACCAAAAAAAAAAAAAAAAAAAAAAAAAATACAAAGGACCTGGACAGACTCTTTATAACAATATAATCATCTGACAAACTGATGATCACGAAGGATTTCAATGTGTGCATTTGGCAGTGATGCCAAAACATGGAGGAAAGGCATCAGAAGACTCACAGGGCCGGAGAGCTGAACAGCACTCACTCACTCCTGCTCTGCAGGGTGCAGCCAGCAGCTTGCAATCACTAACACCATCTTCTGCCTAGCAAATAAGAGAGAGATATTATGGAAGCACTCAGTCTGAACAGTGACATCTCACTGACAACCAACAGTGTCTGCCGGTGGACTAAGCGCAAATGACCGTTAACTTGAAACACTCAAAATTCCTCAGCAACACAGTAGAGAAAGCCAAATGCCTACTAAAACAGAGAATGGAAACACTCTGATGGGTTCTCTGTTGAACACAGTGATCCTTATGGGCATTTTCTGCAAAGGAGTTCTCAGTTAAAAGTAAATCAACCTCCCAGGATGCTATCAGGTAGCCATCAACATTATGGGCATTAAAAAAAACAAGTGATCATGTTCAGTAACTCAAGGGTACAGCAAAGACATCCAAAAGCTCTTTGCAAGAAATTAAAATAGCACACTCTCATCAACAATCCTGTGCCCTCCTGGTAAAGCACAAGCAAACAAGGGGCAAACCAAGAGATCCCCATATTCCAAGGTCAGACAGCTTGCTAAGAGCCAACCACCATCCTTAGAAGCTTGTCAAGATTAAAGGAGGAAGAAATGGAAAATTTCCTCCCTACCTCTCTCTTGACCCCATATGAATACTTAAGTATTCTCTTGAACTTTAATTTTGTAAGATTAAAAGGAAAACAATTTTGTCTTATTTTTCAAATAATAATAGAAACTGGACAGGTTTGGAAGTACCAACCTTCCACAACACACAACTGAACTCTCTACTTTGTCTTTCTTGAACAATATAGAATGGTATTGCAGTTGCCAAACAAAAAGTCCTATTTGAAATATTACAAGGTTATGTTTTACATATGGAATAAATATACTCATCAAACTGAAGACCAACAACAACTAACATACAAAAGGATGATGAAGTTTTATTAAGATTTAATTTCTAGTATTTTTTAAAACGTTATTGATACTGTCCCAGTGTGGGTCCTCTGGAAAATTGAAAATTAAGCATTTTTTAAAATGTAGTTAGGATACAAAACCAAATTAAGGAATTATAAATACATAAGTGCATTACAAAAATGAACCTTTAAAGATTGAGGTCTCTATATATGCTATACCAGAGCATACAAACTAATCCAGACAATCTCCAATTTACACTAAGCATTTATATTTTGAGAGACATGCAAATAGGATAACCTGGAATTATTAGTTATAATATTAAAAACTTCAAGAGAAAGAAGAGACTACTTGCATTAAAGATATGGCAAGTAATCATTCCAAACAGAAATGGCAAAAACTATGTCAGAAATTGGTACCTCAAACCAACACCCAAAGGGAAGATCTACGAGGTGCACCTTATGATCTCAAATGAGATCACAGGAATTTCTACAAACAGAAAATGATATCTTAGGGCCCGCCAAATAGCTCAGTGGATGAAAGCACCTGCAAGCAGGCACAGAGGCTGGGGGTTTGATCCCCAGGCCTGCCATGCCAGCCCCGTCCTGGGGCCCACTGAGATGGCGTGGTGGTACGCGCCTGTAATCCCAGCACTTGGGAGGCTGTAACAGGAGAATCACTATGAGTCCGATCTAGTAGTGAGACCTGGAACACCCTGTAGACCCTGCCCTAAAATATAGGGGAAAAAAAAAAAAAGAAAAGAATGCTATCTTTCTTAACATAGATAGCTACCTGAGAAAAAAACATGCAAAAAGTAAAAATAGAGGACCCTAAAGAACTCAGATCTTTCAGTTTATGAATCTCAAATATGCAAACTGATTTTTAAATAGTTTTTTAAAAAATACAAAGGGTAAAAGAAAGGGTAAAAAGAAAGCCCAAGAGTGTTTGCTCTTTGAGAAATGAATATAAATTAATTTTGCCCTTTGATCTTAACCAGCAGTTTACAAGTCAATTAATTAAACTCAACTTCTGACTTTAAGGATTGGCACTATTATTATTTACAATATATAAATAGTGAAAGTGAGGCACAGGAAAAGTCAACAAATGGTTAAGGCTGGGACTTGAACCAAGAGGGGTTTTTTTTTTGTTTGTTTTTTTAAGACAGGGTCTCACTACTAAGTCCAGGCTGGCCTTGAAGTCACAGTGATCCTCCTGCCTCAGCCTCTGGAGTGCTACAGTGTACAGGTGTGCTAGAATCAGGCCAGTTGAATCAGGAAATTCTGATTCCAAGCCTGAGCTCTTCACTGTATATAGTCACTTTCCTTGGAGGCAAAGAGGCAAGAGCAACTTAAATATTTAAAGCTATGTTAAGCCATTTTGCTTAACAAATCCCTGCAGAACAGATATAACTGGCTCCCTAATAATGACAGAGGAATCTTAAAAATACAATTAACAAGGCTTCCAGAGCAACAGATCTGAGGTTAGATGACTACATTATATTATTCCTATTTTTGCCCTCAAACAGGCCTACCTTCAGTTTTCTTTGTAATGTACAATAAAATATGGGGGGCAAATAGGGAGGAGTATGTATGCACATATGCGCCTACTTGTGCCTGTGTTGGGGAAGTTGTGTAAAGAAGGAAACTAGACAACTATTCTAAATATGTAACAAATGAGAGATTCACTCAAATTAAGAGAAAGTAAATCCAAAGGTTCACAGACGGTTTAAGTTAAATCTCAGAATTCTCTGGTATCAGGGATTGCTGACCATAAGACCTGGCCCAACTTTCTCTAGGAAATTCTTTAAGAAGCATAATCATTTCTTAGAGGCTTTAATTTGTATGATCTCCTGTGCTCTCCTGGGTCACCTTTTCAGAGACATGAAATAGGAGCAGACAGTACCGACTGCTGGAACAGTGACCACATCAAGGGACTGGCTAGTTTGAGACCACCTCTCTGTAACACCCCTGAGCTTGTCTTCTGCCTCATAAAGTTCCCCCAATCTACTGCTTTCAGGTCTACTTCAAAGGGTGCAAAGGCAAGGGCACCCCACGCCCCAGAACTCTGTGCTGCTGCTTACTAAGAGCCTCTTGCCTCCACTTAGTAGCGCAGCTCAATCC